TATGACTTCTGTAACATGTTTTAAATAAAATTTTATCAGTAAAAAACCTCAAATCATGTCCTTTCTAAGAATTAGAACTCTCTTGTAGATATAAAGGATAACATTTAGAAAATGCAATTATGCAACTATCAAAAAAAACTTCCTCAGTCACTGAAAATAATTTATTTACCACATTTTAAAGCCCCGCCTGTATAATGGTAGGGGAAACTTACAGTAGGCCCAAAGAAAAAGATTTCATTTCGACAAATTATCATTATCATAGCCCGTAAGCTTTCCTAAATTTTGTTTATTTTTTGCCACTTCATTAGAAAACAAAACTGAATGTTAGTTTCTGAATTTCTGCATCATATCTAATTCTTAAGAGTTACTTTCCTTTTTAAATAAGAACGATCCCATTCAGGGCAGACCAAACTACCCAAAAATAAAACTCCAAAATCAGTGTGCCACTTTTTCAAAACGTTTTCAGTAACAAGACATTTACCTTCTGTTCACCTGTCCTCGCAGAAAGTCCTGGGTCCTAACTGATTTATCAAAATTCAGAACGCCTCAGGGTCAGGAGTTTGATTATATTCAGTCTTTGGTGCTTGACCTCGCTGATATTTTCTGTTTATATATTCTAAGTATTTTATTAAATACACTTTTTTTTTGTCTTTGAACAGTTTTTTACAGATGTTTTAAATCCTTATTTTGACATCTTAAAAATCTCAGCGAATCTCATGTCGTTCCATAAAACATTCGGTTTCTCGTTCCAGTAAAATTCATTATTTTTGCCATGTTTTTATTTTTACAATGAACTTTTTTTATACAGTAAATTTATAAACATATTTGCAAAAGTCAGAGAAAGTCCAGTAGATGTCACTATTAAACGCCACAGTCTTATAATTCCATACTTTATCTAATGTTGAGGAATGCTCATCCAACATGATCAGAATCCAAATGAGAAGAAGAAAATCCTGTCTAAACTTTTGAAATGGTTAAAAATAAGGAACTTTTAACAATGTATTTCGGTGTCTTGGTTTACAAATTAACTTTTAATACTTAAAATTTGATATTTATGCTTAATTTTTGATTCCCTTTTACTATATGCAGCATAAATATTAGTCAAATTACTACTGCCTGTCCAACATATTGTTTTTATTTTCAATAATTTATTTCTAAATCCTGAAAGATTACAACAAATGATCGTTATATTATATTAAAAGGTTATTCATACTATGAATATTAATTATTAGATATTATATTTTTATAATATATAATGTAAAAAATAATAATATAATAATAATTGTTATATAGTTATTAGTTATTCATATGTCCTCACTGGGCCCGGTAGGCTGCTCAAAACTGCTGTGAAATGAGACGGTCTAGCCTTCGCCTGACGTCGGCTTCATGTGGGATTGTGTGACCACTGACCACGTGCTCCACTGTTACCATAGTGATCAGTTTCATGTCGGACTTGAAATGCGTCGGGATGTGTATTTACATGTCTTTTTTTTACACGTCTTTTTACTGGAATAACAACTTCACAGTTACAAAGGTAAACGTTAATAAATAAAGAAAACATTAATAATTTGGGTTTAGCTCCACTATCTACAACAGAGTTATAGGGCCACACATGTTTTTTTATTATTACGAAAATAAAGTCATAATATTATGAAATAAAAAGTCATAATCCTACATGAAGTGTCCATTTTCCATTCATCTCCTCCTGGGGGCTAAGCCCCCCTTATCCTTAAAACCTAGTGACACCCCTGGACTCTACTAACCTTAGTTAAAGGTCAAAGGTCAGACTCTACAGGCCTCAGTTAAAGGTCAAAGGTCAGACTCTACAGGCCTCAGTTAAAGGTCAAAGGTCAGACTCTACAGGCTTCAGTTAAAGGTCAAATGTCAGACTACAGGCTTCAGTTAAAGGTCAAAGGTCAGACTCTACAGGCCTCAGTTAAAGGTCAAAGGTCAGACTCTACAGGCTTCAGTTAAAGGTCAAATGTCAGACTACAG